ATGCGTGTGGTGTACATTTTATCTATAGTAGTGTTCATCATCATCATCATCACGTAGCGCTACAACCCTGGGTGGATCTTGGCTGACTACAACTTTTTTCCAATTTGTTTGGTCTTCCATCAACCTAGGGTCAAATGGAATGTTCGTTTTCGAAGATCTGCTGTGATGTTATCTCTCCATCGCATTCTGGGACGCCCGAGTGGTCTTTTCCTTGGGAATCTCCTCCCATACCAGTTTTACAAGTCTCTCGACTCTCGATATGCAATCTGTGCACGTGGCCTGCCATCTTAGTCGCTGTGATTTAATTTCTTGGACAATATCGGCGGCATTGTAGAGTGCTTTTAATTCGATATTGGTTCTGATCTTTTAGTTTGTGATGATGTCATGGTGAGGTCCAAAATTTTCTAAGTATTTTTCGTTTAAAGCGTCTGAGCTTTTCTTTGTTTGCTTTGGTCTGACCAAACTGCTTGTATTACAGGTCTGACGATGGATTTATAGATTTTGATCTTTGAACTTCTTGTAAGATTTTTTGATTTTATGAGCTTTATCCAGTGCGAATAGACAGCAGTTTGCAGATTGGATTCTGTCTTTTATTTCTTGAGTAACCGTTTGTCAGCTGTGATTACGACCCCCTTAGATGCCTGACCGTCACATTTTGTTCTATTCGGTTTCTTCGTGTCGTTCTATTTATACACATATATTTCGTCTTCTCTTCATTAATCTTCAGCACTACTTGACTTGTTGCTCCTTCCACCTTATTGAAAATGTCTTTCGTGAATAAGATGGAGTCTCCAACGAGATCTATGTCATCTGCATATGCGAGTGACAGCTTGGGACCTTGAGCCGATAGCAATTCTGTTTTTATTTCGGCCGACCTCATGGCTTTCTCTAATACAAGGTTAAAAAGTGGTGGAGATATAACGCGTCGCCCTGTTTGAGTTCACTGTTGATTTCAAAGCTGCCAGACAGTTTATTATTTACACGTACTTTAGATATTCCACCCTCCATACAGACTTTGGTCATCCGAATGAGTTTCTTTGGTATTGAGAACTCCGCTATGGCATTCCATTCTTGGCTTCTTTCGACGCTATCATATGCCTGTCGAAAGTCTATGAAAAGATTGTGTATGGGTCTGTTATACTCCCATCCCTTTTCTAGAAGTTGTCTCAGCGTGAATAGTTGATCTATTGTTGATCTGTTTGCCCTAAAACCGGCTTGATATTCGCCTAGGACATTTTCAGCATAAGGATTAGACTACTAAGAATGATGTTTGAGAGGGTTTTATATGCCGTGTTTAGGAGTGAAATTTCCTCTATAATTCGCACATTTTGTTTTGTCCCCTTTTTTGTGGATGGGCACTATTATGTTTTCCTTCCATCGTGCTGGTATTCTTTCTTCTAACCATATGTGCGTTATTAGCTGATGCTATAGTAGTGTTGGGTATGTTAATCTAATCTGCATTATTTAAGCGCGTATATTATTTTGCTTAATTCTAGTATCTCAAAAGCTTTATGAAAATAAATAAAGAAAAGAGACAATAAACAAGATGCCTGTTGCGTTTTACTGTTTTGTTTATTAGTGTTTTTATATTTTGTAGATGGTTATTGGTTCCGTAATTTGTTCAGAATCCTCACTGTTCTCTAGCTTGTTAAGTCTTCAGTTTTCTAGTTCATTCTTGTAACAGAAGTTCTAATAGCCGCTATTAATTTGAATCTTTCTAGTGCAAATTAAAAAACATATATTTGGACATATCTTTTTTTATTTTAGCTTCTGTTACAAACTCAATCTTTTGCTTTTATATTTTGGCTAAATTATTTTAAACTATTGTATATATTGTAAATATTTAATCAAATTTGTACCGGTTTAAACATTGACGAAAGTAGTGGACGCACGTAACTGAAAATAAAATTATAAGATAGTGGATTTAATATTTAAATACCCACGGAAATTTTCAATATATTTCTCGAAATATCACAAAAATACAAGCATCAAGTTAAACGTAATCTACCTTGTAATAATAATTACTATTCACGTAATTTCTCAATAACAAGTCGATTAAAAACAAAAACAATCAACCTACAATCAACACACGCGCCAACCTCAAACTTAACCTCACTTTTCGTTCTATTTTGTTGCAGGACACCATCCGCCAAACGCCAACACCACCACCTCCTCGGGCAGTCCACCTCTCACGGCTCAACCGTCCCCTCTCACTCCGGAAGATCAACACCGCGAACTTGACGAACTGCTCAGCGATATGATGCTCACCGTTCAGTCGATTCCGGACTTGAAACCGTCGCCGACTTCATCTATTAATGTGAGAGAAGAGGATAACTTCCGATTTATAGACGACGAAGAGGAGAGAGGTATTCCGTACCACGCTAGGCAAACCAGTCAACCCTTTAGGTGAGTTTTTCGAGAGGGTTTTCTGAAATACTTACGGATAATAAGTGCAGTTTTTGGTGGTTCAGTGATGAATTTTCAATTTAATTATGAATTAATTAATACATGGAATGCTCCTGTGGGAGTTGAAGGTTATGCAAAAGATTGGAATAATATATATCATGATTTTTTATTATCCTTGATCTACCAAATATAGTTGTCCAACAGAAATGATAGATTTTATATTATCTGCTATAAAACTAAACGGCAAGAAATGTTTATAGAAAATTTCATTTTTAAACGTCTCCATTGATTTAGGTACTCCCTTGTATTTTGATGCTCTTCTATAATTTAATAAATATACTCTTCTTCAGCAATGACTGCACATTTTTCGTTTTACCACGATTAGCAACTTTATATATTTTTTTTCATTTTTGGTTTCCTATAATTGTCGTATGTATTTAACAATAAAATACTGAAAACTTTTGATTTCAAAACTTCCACAAAATTTATTATATTGTATTATCACTACAACTGTATCATCAGAGTGCCATTCTCAAGTGATCTATTTTTGTAAATATGTATTGTAATTATTATTTTTTTTTAATATATTGTAGAAGGATTGTTTGCTCTTTCCTTATTTTTCATAGTACTTCTCTGTTTGCTACTATGATGATGATCTATGCAGATGTTATTCTTGTATTGTTATTCTCTCTCTTTCTCTCTCTCTCTCTCTCTCTCTCTCTCTCTCTCTCTCTCTCTCTATCTATATATATATATAATATATATATATATATATACAGGGTGTTTCAAAAAGGTATGTCATAAATTAAATCACACATTCCGGGGACAAAAATAAACTGATTGAATCCAACTTAGCTTAGTATAAAAGTTTACCCAAAAAAGTTACAGCCCTTTGAAGTTAAAAATAAAAATTGTTTTTTTGCATTATCTCCTAAACTACTTGACATTTTGTAATAAAAATGGACACGTTACTTTCTTGTTCTGAAAGCATTTTTCATACAAAATCTAAGCGCACAGAAAAATTTTAAGGGGGTGTGCAGCCCTAAATCCCCCCAAACTTTTGAGTACGTTAAAATCAAATGAATTTTATGGCATCATTAGTTTAACACATTATTTTTAAAAAATTTTTGCCTCATCACTTTTTTCAAAAACAGTTTTTATTTTTTATTGAATTACGGGCCCTTTTCATTAACCTTTAAAAAATTACGTGCAACTAAATAAATGGCATAAATGAATTAACAAGTACAAAAAATGTCTATAACCTCTATAATTATGATTACATTACAATAAATGTTCAAAATGACCCCCATTTTCTTCAATACACATTTGGTATCGTTTTAATAAGGAAAACCGAATGCGCTGAAAAATCATATTTTTCTGACGAAATTGATTTGCAGCTTCAATTATTCTAACCCTCAATTCGTCCTCTATTCTTACAGAATACACTTTCTCTTTTATATACCCCAAAAGCAAAAGTCAATGGGGTTTAGACCTGAACATCTGGGTGGCCAAGAAATAGTAGTCCACCGACCAGAATACTGCCTGCAAAGGTATTCCCGGACTTCATTACTGTAATGAGGTGGAGCGCCATCTTGTAGAAATCATATATTTTGCCTTATTGCCATATTCACTTCTTCCAAATACTCTTGTAAATCGTTTGCTAAGAACTGCAAATTATTATCACCATTTAAATTGTGGAAGAAATACTGGGCTTATTAGATTGTTATTCACAATTCCTGCCCAAACATTAACTTTGAAAGTCCTTTGTGATGAGTGTTTTTTTTGCTGCGTGAGGATTTTCGTCGGCCCAAATGTGCTCGTTATGATGGTTTGTTATTCCATTTCTACTGAAGGTAGCCTCGTCGGTAAACAAAATATTTCTAATAAAATTAACATTTCGAGTGTTTTCCTTAACAACCAATCGCAAAATCCAATCCTTTTAGGATAATCTTCAACCATAACTCTTGAACCGTTGTTAAGTGATAGGGTTTAAGCAGCTGATCCTTCAAACGCCTCCAATCCCTTACGTGAGGAACATTTAGTTGAGCAGCTATTATCTTTGTACTTGTTCAAGGGACTTCTTCAATTATTTCAAAAATGTCTTCATCAGCTGCATCCATTATTGGACGACCACTATTGCCAGTTGGAATATATCCGTTTCCCGTAAACGACGATCAATGGTCAGAAATAATCGTCTATCGGTGTATTTCGATTCTAATCCTACGTTTGATGTAAGTCTTCTTTAACTTTTTGCAGCCACTTTGATCTTGTTTTTCCCCTTTTCTTTCTTCCTCATGGATTCCTTTCTATCATCGCTTATGTCATTGCTTATATCCGGCTCGCCAAATGTGACCTAACCACCTATTTCTACATTTATTTTGGTCACGATATCTTATTTAGTACATTCTTAACATCTGCATTGGATGTGCTTCTTTATTCATTTTAAACTGTTTTGGGTGATCCCAGTATGGTTCTCATGATATTTCTTTCCACTATACGTAAGTCTTCTTTATCTTTTTAGTCATTGTCACTGTTTCTGCTGCGTATAATAATATTAGTCTAATTATTGTGTTATATATGTTTTGCTTATTGTCACTCTTAGTACTTGAAATGTTCTATTTCTTCACATTTTCAACTCCCTTTTATTTTATATTTTTTTTCTATTATTAGTTTTATTTCATAATCGTAAAGCTTTGTCTTTTCTTGATTTAATCTGTCCCTTTGTTCCCTTTTCTTTTATTTCTTTTAACATTTCTTTCATTATATTTCTGTTCTTTGCAATAATAACAATATCGTCTGCGTAAGCGGTTATTTGCCCACCTTTTATTCTTAGGTTTTCTTTGTTTATATTTCGTAGTATATATTCTAAAGCTAAATTGTACAGTGTTATGGATAAGGCATCTCCTTGTTTCACCTCTTTACTTACAACGAGTTCATATGTCTCCTCTCTTTGCGTCTTTATGTTATTTTTGTTAGTTCTCATTATCATATTTGTTAATTTTCTGAGGTTATGTGGGATTTTTAATTTTTGCGCTGCTATTAATAATTCGTTCTCGAATTGGATTCTAAATGTTCTTCTATATGTAGGTATAGCCTTAACAGGCCTTTTAGGTTCATTGCTGGATGGCTAATTTTCTTCGTTTTCTGTTCAGTTGTCAGCCTCCAATCTGTGATTCTTATCTGTCTGACATGTTCCATCACTACCTCTCTCCATTTCTTTCTTGGTCTTCTTTTTTTTTGTCCTCGGGTTCTCTCCAAATACCAATATTCTTGGCTTGTCTCTAACCTTGCATTTTTTTAATGTCCGAGCCATTCTAGTCTACTACTACTACTACTAGTTTTTTCATAACTCTTGTTATTGGAGGGTTAGCATACAATTGGTACATTTCTACATTAGTTAGTCTTCACCATTCTCCCTCTACTACTTTTCCACCAAACATTCTGATAACTATCTTTCCCATGCTTCCAATCTGTTCTGTATCGTTGTGTTCATAGTCCATTGTTTCGGCAACATACAGCATTGTGGGTCTAATTATAGTTTTGTATACTTTTATTTTTTTATTGCGAAATATATCTTTAGCCTTAATTATTTTGTTCATGACACCAGCACATATGTTGTTCTTTATTAGCCCAATAAGGGTACCTAAGTACAGATATTCATCCACCTTTTCTCGAGCCATTCTCCACCTCTAATTTAAAGGAGCCCCTGGTGTTTATTCCTTTTTTGCTTAAGATTTTCATGTACATACTTGGATTTATTAATATTAACTTTCAGTCCCATCTTAGAACTTTACCGAATCAGTCTTTTTGCTATACTTGCCAGTTCTTTTCCATTTCTTGCAATGAGAACCACAGCATCACCATTCGCTAAGCATTGGTGCTCTTTATAGAAAAGAGTCATTTGATAACGCTCTCTGGGTTGAGAAAAGAGTCATTTCATAACGATGGTCGGACCAAATAAAGGCAACAGAAAGGACTGGAGACGTTGGTTGAAAGAAGGAAGACTTGGAACCTTTTTACACTATGTTGTATTGGGTCCTTTATCAAATTCTTATGTGGTGACACTTTCTTGATTCGCATATCTAAAAAGAAGAAGTTAAATAGTTTAGCATTTAGCTTTAATTAACCACCTGACTATCCCAGAAGAACCATTTCCTGAACCGGCCACTATTTCCGGATCATTTGCCTAATCTGCTGCCTTAGTATTTGCAAATAATTTTACCTAATCCAGTTAAGCCAATGAAAAGTCTTTACAAAGACTAAAAGATTAATTTCTCTTTTATCAAACATTCCCATTTCCACATCTAATAAAAAGTAAATTAACCGGATGCTTGTCATTCGTTCATTTATTCGACTTAACGTCAAATGATAAAGAATCTGAATATTACATCGAAAATCCGTTTGTTTGGATACGAATATCCTACGTTCGATATCCGGTATTGGTAAAAGCATTAAGGTGTTTTTAAAGTACTCCAAAGATCTTCAGTACATGCAGTTCAAGCGTAGTGACCTTCCTTTTTACATAAGACCACTTAATAGTCTGCCTTGCATAACACCTATATTGCCACGGCTGTGTCAAAGCGAACTGATATTATTATTTATATTTGTTGAGATAAGATGACGTAGAATCGGAACTTTATACAAAGATTTAAACAGAAGTACTGACTACAAGATAACGCTAATAAACACATTGTAAACCATTGATTGCCTATTTCCGGTATTGCAAACCAATGGCATAATACAAAAGATTTTTCGCGAGACATAATATATTGAATATACCTAATGGAAATATTTTTTTTTAAATACAGCAAAACCTTCAACATTCACAAATTATTCATAACCCATTTTGAGTTTGACGACAACATAACAAAATATTTCATTTTTTTATTCTTTCTTCAATACTTATTGCACCTATCTCTTGTGGTCCTGTCCTCTCTTGGTGTGAGTAGTTGTGTTTCTTCTTAAAAGTTGATTTTTGGCATCTGTCATACTAGTGTATCAGCGAGCTAATTAATTAACGGTATGATGTATCTACCAACACCACCATATGACTAATTCTGAATGTTCTCTGCTACTGGCGAAAAATTCTCAGTATTGCTCTGATGCTGGGGAATTTTTTTCTGCTGATGGTAGAAACATTAGGTTGTTCTCATCTGAGACTGGAAACTTAGAGAATTTGAAGACTAGCAGTTTTCTCATTCAGTGGTTTGAGATTCGTTTTCTCCACTGTGATACATATAAATATGATCCTGTAGTAGGTGATCTCCAATACTTCACACGCTTCCATTGGGGGGTATCTGCTGTATGGCTCTGAAGAGTGAGATTTTACGGGTCACGAACCTTTTAGTTTCTGATTTTATTTAATCAAATGGAGTGACATGCTGCTCCCTCTGTGGACTAAAATGATAAACGGAGTCGTCCTCAAACTAGTTCTTACTTTTTCCTAGTTTGGTATGCATTCTAAATATTCTTCAAGTCACTAAATGAATATCTGGTTCTTATTAGCTTTAGTCAAAGTTGCTGTATCGTCATATAGAGTGCCATCTGATTTAATTTATCCCTGGAGGCCAGAACGCTACAGTTATTGCTATGTTATATCAAATTAATGCATAAAATTAGTTAGTAGGAGAAAAAAAGATAAACCAGCAGAAAATAGATTAGTTTTTTACAAGCAAGTCAAGACACGATTACTAATGATGCTTAATACTTTTGACCAAAAATATATGAGTCTTTTTATTTAATTAATATCATTTAATATGCCTTATATTAAAAATTAAATAGGCCCTGAACCAATTCTCTGTATGTTTTATTGATCCTTAGTTAAATCCGTTTAAAAAACTTCTATGGCTTAATAGTTTACTCAAAACGTTTTTACTTTCTTTCTAGCTACGGAATAAACGCCAACATGATCAGCGAGTCCAAGCGGCTTGCCAGCCCTTCCCTTGTGCGAAAAGCCAGCGGCAAAGGTTTGATCAGCAACGATGGGATCTACACAATGGGTAGTGACAGCACTTACAAAAGCTCTCCCAGTAGTGACGGAACCTACAAGAGTTCCATCAGTAGCGATGGTACGCTGAGAAAAGTACAGGCACAAGTATACCGGAATTCGGAACTAAAGTTAATAGCTATTCGAACAGGAATAATTTAGATGATATCTACAATACAAGGTTAGTTATAGTTTTAAATTAATTAGTTGTTAGTATCACAAATTTAACAATGACTACAAGGTGATATAAGGGAACGCCTTCCAGATTAACAGTTCAAGATTGAAATACGGTTATTAAAGAAATGTTGGACAAAGTTGATAAAAATAAAGGGGCACTGGGAAATAATTTTTTTAAATAAACCTGAATCACCCAAAACGTCATTAATTTAGCATATATTTTGAACATAGTTTAAACATGACAACAATAGATTTTTTTTTATTTTATGACATGTTCATCAGTCTCTGAGCTTATTAGCGAAATAAATACATATAAGATAATTTATGTTTGGGTCTGTCTTTGCAACTGATATCTTTAACACTCTACAAGGACATGTTTAGCACCGAGTGGACAGTTACAGTTGTCACATAAAGTAGGATTAGCGTGACCAGTTATATGCTCGTAGGTAATTCGGGTATGTTTTAGACGAAGTCGAGTAACGACTTATGAGCTCTGTTGGAGATTTGATATTTCCACGGTATTTCAGATATTTTTAATTCGCTAAGTTTTGAAGTTGAACAAATGTTTTGTTCACTCAACTTTTGTTGGTTTTGTCACAAATTTTCAACCATTACTAATAAATGATGTTAAACATTTAGCACTACATTTCTCACTTCACTCGTGGTTTCACTGTTTCTTGCTTGTTGTGCTAAGCGATATGTGAATGTTACTTGGTTTACACTTCGAATGTGCTACTGGTAAACAATCAAAAACCTCGTGTGAAAAAGGACCATTATTTTGGGTTTTTTTCGTGATTGGTTTTAATCTTCGCAAATGACATATATCTGTATAGACACTGCTACTTTGCTGTATCGGAAAAAATGTATGAAGTTAGCTAAAAATATAATGGCGTGAACATGGCCCCGCCTTAGGAAATACTGCCAACAAAATCGACTGCTAACGGTAACTGTTCGAATGTTTGAAATGCACCTATTCCAAATATGCAACGGACACACCATGAAAAAAGAACGAGTAATGTCTTTATTGTATGTCTTTATCTTGAAAACTCTGGCTACACCATCACTGCCGCATATAAGTTTGATCAGGCGACCTAATTTCCACCTTAATGGAGCTAAATTGTCGTCTTTTATGAGCACTAATGCTTTCCGCAACTTAACCATTGGTAGTAGTCCATTTGATACTTTTTTGTAGTTCGGAGATCTATTCTTTTATAAGTGGTGTTCCGATGAGAAAATGTGAACAAGTTATGCTGGAGGTACAGGGATGATAGGCCCTGAATTTATTGAGTTCAATGCAAGCAGGATAAATTCCGAAGTTGTGCGTTTCCACTTATGTACTGTTTCTTACTTCGCTTTCCCACAGTCGGCCAAATGTGGAAAATATGGAGGTATAAAAGACACGAAATATTATCTTTAGCAAGGATTCTCTTATCGCGGGAGTGTGCTGCTCTAAAAATTTTCTTAACGCTTTTAACTCCGAACTAGCTGCTATGAAATTGGTTCCATTAGCGAATATCATAATCTACACCTGTTACAATAATCAGTGGCCCACCTGCGAGACGCTGGGCAAGTAGGTCTCCCATTACTGGCTGAATGAATTTAGATTTTAAACGAAAACATTTTACATATTTGTGATAAATTTCTTTCTGATAACTGCCAGATAGTATCTCTTATTGTAGAAAGTAAAAGCTGAGGACCAGCATGCATAAGATCTTTGTAAAAATGATCAAATAATAACGCTGTAACTACATGATGCCTAGATAGGAATTTTTTGTCATACGCAAACTCGGAATGTCTGTAACGCACGCCTACTCTCATATTGCCCTGCTGATCAAGCAATGCAGATAAATTTATGTATTGCTAGTTTTCTCGAGATATCCTCTTTGGTTCAAACGCTTAATTTCATTAGAACAATCTGCTTCTTAATTTCCTTGAAGGACAATATAAAGCAACCCATAGAAATTGTACAGTATGGTTGCTGTTTTGTGCGTAGCTAGTTCCTTTTTTAATCAGGGGAGCAATTGGATGTGTTGTGTAGAGTTGGTTAATGGTATTGATGGAACTGAGGGAATCGGTAATTGTAAGAACATTGGATATATTCTATCTATCTAATATATCTAATCAGCCTTAAACGCCCGCTCTTGGGCATAGGCTCTCCCTGTTAATCTCCTTTGTCTCTATTTTGGGCGATCTGCATCCAGTCCTTTCCTGCCGTTCTCTTAAGGTCGTCAGTCCATCTCATCTGTGGTCTTCCTCTTTTTCTTTTCTTTTCCATGGCTCCAGTGTAGAATTCGCTTATTCCACTCTTTCATCTTTTTGCCGGAGAGTGTGACCGGCGAAGTTCCATTTAAGTTTTGCAACCTGTCTTGATACATCGTTCACCTTTGTTTTTTCTCTGATCCATGAGTTTCTTTTCCTGTCTTTAAGACCGATACCAGCATCTGTCTTTCCATTGCTCTTTGTGTTATTGGATATATTATTGGAGTTAATTTGAGTGAGAGCTTTATAGATGGCATATGGCTCTAAAGTATGTCTATAGGTTAAGGATTGTAGTTTATATTTAAGTGTATATATTTGAGTGTAACGACAACGGTCCCAACGCCAGTAGATGTTTTAGAGGTGTCTATGTATACGTGAGAGAAGTAAAAAAAATTGTTAAGTTTGTTGAAGGTATTTTTTATTAAGGAGTAGGGAGTATCGTTCTTTCTAAAGATATTTAAAGATATGTCTGACATTCAAGGAAGAGATATTCTTATGAAGTTGAATTAGGTATTTGCTATCGAAATTTGTAAAGCGTGTAAGTTTACCTACATCTTTCGTAAATGGTGGTTCACGTTCTATTTTCAGTGTTTAAATCGTCACTTCGACGTTATTCCAACCTTTCTATTCCCATAGTATTGCGTTTTTTTACTCCACATACTGCCCATATTATCTTTTTGTAGATTGTTACTCAATTTTCGGTGTTAAGTTCTTTCTGCGGGCTGTTGAAGCTGTGTATGCCAGTACAAAAAGTTCATTTGGGTTAAAAACGCGAAGCGTTGACCAGGCTATATAAGTTACTTTACCTAGGAGCCTTAATATTGTTTCGTATAGAGTTTTTGATCCATCTGCGAACCATGTTAGAGATCCATTATGTAGGACATAAACTTATTCCCTAAATGGTATGACCGTGTTAATTTTCAAGTGAAATTTTTCCTCAAGAAAAGAATATTATTTGTTGTTTGATTATGGACTAATCGTCGTTAGAGTTATATAACTATCTAACTAATATAAATCAACTACAGGTATTAATATGTACGAGTAAAAAAAGTAGTATGAAGCAGAATATAGAAAAATAACTATCCGAAAAAATTTAAAACCGTAAAAGAAGTATTAGACTGCAGAAAAATATCTCTCTTCAGACTTGACGGAGTGTAGTGATCGTCGTGTATAGTGCATAGTCCGTCTCCATAAACTTTTACATTACCTCTAAGTAACCGTTTTTGTTACAGTCAATCGCTTCAACCAATCAAAAGAGACTTCAGAGAAGAATATTACAGAGAAGATGTAAGAAGGTACGATCCCTTAAAAAGAAGCCTTACCGAAGGCACTATAAGAAGAAGTCCAGAGAAAATCTACAAGCAGTCACAGTCATTAGTAAACAGTCCATATTCGGATTCAGAGAGCTTGTCACCTCCAGGTGCTTTTAGAAACAACACAAAGTCACCAGAATTTCACGAAACGTAAGTTTTTTTTTATATATTTCTTTATTCAATTGTTATGGTCGTTAGCTTTAATATTGAGAGTATCGGAAACAATTGTCAAGAAAATGTAGCACATATGTTTTGATTATAAGATAATTAAGTAGTAGATTTACCACTTTTACTAATAGATGTATTATTATGTTTCTATTATCTGTCTTTGAACGTCAAAAACGCTTTTTCCACAAAAATGAAGGCATTATCGTGAAAATCTTATAGTCTTATTTGGCAATATCAGAAGTTAAATTAATAAAAAAAATAACAATCGTTGAGTATATGAAATAGCGTCTCCTATCTCTAGGCGACTATGTAGTGCAATAAACTAACTCTGAAATATTTAAAATACCTCTCAGCTACTAAGCTCTTTGTCTTGGTCTACTTTAAAGTGGCATTAAAAAAATATCTGATTATACAGGGCACTATTTCCAAAAACTTGCTTTTGCTTCGAATCTTTTTTTTTTTGGAAACCGAAAAAAAAAAAGATTAAAAGGCCGAGTAGTGTGTTAGCTCACAAAGTAGAGAATTTTATTAATGTTGCCTAGAGTTAATGGGAATTAGAAGTTTCTAGTCCTCACATATTTAGAGATTTTTAGAAAAAAATCCTGTTTATTGCAAATAACCAGTTTTTCAAATAAATATCTAAATAAGGATTAAAACTAAAAGGATTTATTCGTGAAAATAAAATTTTCATATTTTTAATCATAATTTCTGAGGAGCCATTTAAGAAAGAGAAAATGTTTTCTTACAAACGCGTTTAGATTTTCCAACGATATTGCGGTAATTGGGTTAACACTGGACTAGAAACGTTTTTGTTTTTTTTTGTAAGAAATTAACCGCATTGCCTTATTTAATTCAAAGTGTCATTAACAAGGCAGCTTAATAACTCGTTTAGTTTGTGTTCAATCAGACACATCCCAATCGATACGTTTTCCGTACATTGGAATAATTTTGATTTAAATGGTCGTAGCCAATAATTTCAAATCAGGCAAAATAAAAGAATGACCGACGATCGGAAAAACCAATTCAATTTGTTAATATGCTTCGGCGTTTCTTTTAGAAGCTAGTGAGCCACCATTGCCATTATATTCGTATTTTTGTTTTGTTCGCCGCAACCATTATCAAAAAATATACTGTTTCTATGCTGATATCAAAATCAAAATTCTTTAGAACATATTACAATAGCATGAATGCCATTTTGAATTAGGAATTATTTTCGGATAACACTGTTAAATTGTTATAATTTATTTGCTGGCTTAAATATAGATGGCTGATCAAGCAATTTGACAGAAGTTTTTTGGCAGTCGAATGGAAGTTAGTAGTGGTGAGTTTTGGATTTTTAAGGAGTTTAAAAAAACTCTTTTTGCTTTCGCCATATGAAACACGATGCTCAGTGGCTAACTTTTGCTGAACAGCTAAAGAGTTGTTACTTTCAACTGCTCTGTTGTTTCAGAGCAACAGTCAGTCGGCGGAATTCCAAAGTGATGGTTATAGATAACATTCATATACTTTCGAAAGTAACTAAGCTTCACATGCATAGACTGAGGCACTCTAAGGAAGTAATGGTCGAATAAATGTTCTTAAAATTCAAGTCACATGCCAAGTAGACCCTCACCTTCTGACGCTTTTATTATGAGCATCTAGGCTCTACAGTTTACAGTTTGACACTACCTTCAGCAAGATGGCAATATTACTGACTTATTAGGCGTGATTCACTGTATTTAGTTTTTACATTACTCTTGTGTGTTTCTTCTTCTTAGGGTGCTGTCCGTTCCGAATGTTGGCGATTCATTTGCTATGTTGATTTTGTTGGTTGCTATACGAAATAGCTGTGTTGAGGTCTTTCTTACCATGCTCTCAGGTTAGCAAGCAGGATATTCTTCTTCGTCCTGGGGCTCTTTTTTCCTTCAATTTTACCTGCAAAATGCATTGGAGTAGCTCGTATCTGCCTTGATTTTCTCATTATATGTCCAAGTACTCCAGCTTACGGCTCTTCTTGTGTGTTTACATTTCTATAAATTAGTAAAATGGCAAATAAAAAATTGCCGTGATGCTGAACTCTTGAAGTAGCGGAGAATTTGAGTGAAAGGGGGAGTTTTTTAGTGAAGATGATGATGATTCGATAGACAATCCAAATTTCAAGATTCATGTTCTTCTTCCTCTAATTTAGAAATTAACAGTGATGGCAAGAGTCAGAATTCGAATTTGATCTAGAATCTCTCACCAACGATTCTGAAACCTGATAATTTTTTCATATAATACTGATAATAATCTTAATCTTTATTTGGAATAATTGTGCAGGTAATATATAAATTAGTATTCACTTTTTATCGTTTGAGTTTTTGTTTTACATTTTGTAGGTAATTTGAAGACATTTACTTTACAGAAAATTAGGATTCCCTCAAAGTTTTTTTTACATGATTTTTTTTTAAATACTTAAATGTTTGTGTTTACATGTTTTTAGTATTAAATATTGTGAATTTCATGAAATATAGTTTCAGTTTCTTACATAAAAACTTCAAATTTATACCCATGTAGCCAAAGTGTTAAACGTACATGGTATTATATCGACGATGCAGAATATTAGATTTCCCTCCTTCGGTTTTTGTCCCTTACAACAAGCAAATATCAGATATCTTTGATTGGTAAAGGTGGAGTGTAGAAAATTTATCACATTTTTACAATAGTTTTTTA